ATAAATAGTATATATATATATATATATATATATATATATATATATCCTTATCTATTTCCTATTATATCCTATTTATTATTATGTCCAATTTATTATTTGATTTTTTTTTAAATATGCTATTTAAAAATAGGAAAATGGACTCGCTAGAATTTAAGGGCCAGATTTACTAAATGTGTAAAATGGGCAAAATAGCATGAGATCACAATCCCATAAAAGTCCCGATGGGAGTAGAAAGTTCTGCAGGGGATCTGCTGGCAATGTGTAAATTAAAGAACACAGACAAAGCCAGCTCATTTCCATAATGAACAATGCAATCTACCAAGAGCAGCACAAATTAATGTAGGACCAAAGATAATCAGGTGCGGGAAATGTGCTAACAACACAGGTGCAAAATTGGTTAAGACACGCTTCTTTGGGCCGTTAAATAATGGTGCAAATACTAGTAAACTGACTACTACAAACCTAGTAAATCACCTTGCATGGTTAATTTAAATACTGTCCTCCCATGAATTTTGTGTCTGAATGGGAACCTCTTACAAATGCATATGCAGTAAAGCCATTTTCATCACAAATTTTTCACTGTGTGTCTTTAGTAAATCCTGACAGTAGTTTTTTTTTTTTTTTTTTAATGCCAGAAGAGGGTTTGCACTGGCGCAAATCTGTCCGTAATTGTTTTTGTCTTGTATGATGGATGTCATTTTAAAAAATGAATTTAAGAATTTAAGTAATACACTAAAAAACTTGCCCTCTTTTATTGCTCCTAAATGTCATCCTTATAATCAACCTATCAGTGTCAAAACATGAAAATGCTATTGCTTTGTTGTATGTCTTATCACTGAGTCTAATATGCTAATTTATGGAATATGAATAAGTGCAAATGCGATTGGAGAGTTTCTGAGAAGGAACAATTTTTTTAGTGAATAAAGACTTATTTTTCGACCTGTTACACACACAAAGAGCTGTTTTATATCATTTTTATGGTGGTTATTAATAGTTTTTATGCTTTGATAGCCCAGAGCAGAATGAAAACCCTGTCTTGTGTGTATCTGCATGTGTCGGTTGTTCAACCATGTGGATATGCCTTCAGCATCTCTATGAGATCTGGATTGGCTAAGTATTACTCTATCCTTTCTTTGTACATGTTAACTGTGGTTCCACTTAGGTGACTTTCTGTGTGTGTGTGTGTGTGTGTGTGTGTGTGTGTGTATGCAGGCCTCCTGGGCTTCCACCACGTTGGGGTTTTGGTTCACAGAGTTGCTGGAGCGGAATCGGCAGTTCCACTCTTGGGTTTTTGAGGGACGACCCAACTGCTTTTGGATGACAGGCTTCTTCAATCCACAGGGGTTCCTGACAGCTATGAGACAGGTTGGTAACTATCACACAAACACTTCTGCTAAACTTACACTTGTACTCGTTCCCCTCCTGATGTTTTGAGCTGATCAAATAAGTTTCCCTTTACCACAAAAGCCATTTTAAAGGGGTCATATGACGTTGCTAAAAAAGAACATTAAAACTAACGACATTATTTACTGTCTTTACATTTATTTTGAAAGATGAAGCTCGCGATTATGGTAAGGGGCGTTACATTTCTGACGAGTTTCACATCGGAAAGGCATTTATTTTCAATAAAAATTAAGGAAATAATCAAAAAGTGTAAAATAAAGTATTGGGTAGGATTAGGGTAGGTGTAGGGAGGGTTCCCTTTCAGACGGTCACGTTCGACGTTACATCAGAACAGACTGACGAATGGGGTCTCGCCCCAATCACCTTTAAGTGGTAACAGAACGAGCCAATGGTACGCTGAGTTCCTTGGTCTACGGAATTTGCATCGCGAGCTCCGCCCTGCTGTGTGGGTATGTAAGGAGCAGCGCGAGCAACTCGCATTCAAGCTTTCACTTCGGAGCCGAGCACATCTCTCTGCTGGTATCACCGGAGTGTTTTGCAACGAGTCTTCAGTGGTGTTGGTGCGATTCTGCGGTTCGTTGAAGAACTTCCTGCTTCTTCTTTCCAGCTCCTGCGTTCCCCTGAGCGCTTCAGCACCTCTGAAAGAGCTTATTTCCTCTGAAAGAGTATACGGGTTGTGTTTGCGTCTTTTTAAAGATGTCATACCGCCCGTGCGTTTCTGGGTGCGGTCGATATATGGCTCCTCGTGACGGCCACGATCGCTGTGTCACATGTCTGGGCTTTCAGCACGCTGAGGCTGCCTTCGTGGATGATTCATGTTCTCATTGTGGGGACATGACTATCTCTGCGTTAAGATCGAGACTCGATTACCTTAAACGGTATAGAGTCCCCTCTGCCACAACCCAATCTAGTTCCTCTTCCCATAAGAGGGCTACTTTGGCTGGTGGCCAGGGTGATCTGAGGGTTACGGTGTGGGCTTCCCCAACGAGACAGCCTCCTCGGGCCGCACCCCCCTCACAAACACTGCAGCCTGTGGAGCCTCCGGTTGAGCTTGCTGGGCCCTCTCAACAGGATCCCAGCATCTCATTCTGGGCTCAGGAGGATGACCAAATGTCGATCACATCACAAAGCGGGCTTGAGTCCTCGGGAGATGAGGATTCGGCTGCATTGCCTCCCTCTGGGAGGCCAGCGTTGCCTGAGTCTAATCCCGAGCTAACGGGCATGCTTTCCCAGGCAGCTGAGAGCATCGGGCTCGAGTGGAATCCTCCACCCTGTCCCGAACGCCCGAGGCTGGACGATTGGTTTCTGGGGGCTGCACGCGCTGATCGCCAGCGTCCCACTCCGGTTCCTTTCTTCCCGGAGGTGCATCAGGAAGTTACCAGTTCGTGGAAGGCACCTTTAACTGCCCGAGACCGTTCTGGTGCTACCTCCGCCTTCACTGCCCTCGATGGCGGGGTGGCCAAAGGGTATGCGGGGATACCCCCAGTGGAGTGCTCAGTTGCGATGCAATTGTGTCCTAGGAGTGCCTCCGCCTGGCGTGGTGGTCACAAGCTCCCGTCCAAAGCCTTTATGTTCTCATCCACGCTTGTGCCCATAAAACATATTCTGCCCCGGCGGCCCGCTGCTGCCTCCACACTGCCGCCGGCTCAGCCACCTTAGCCTGCTCGTCGCCGAGGGCGCCCCTCTGCGGTCTCCTCCACTCCTGCTCAGCCACAGCAGCAGCCTCCACCCCGGCCGCTGTTGGCAAAGGGCGTGACCCTGTTGGCAAAGGGCGTGCCTTGAATCGAGCTCTTCACAGACTTCCGTTCAAGATGTTAACGCCCAAACGCATTTTCGAATGTATTCGTCCCATGGATTGGTTTGCAGCGATCGACCTGAAGGACGCCTACTTTCATGTCTCCATTCTTCCTCGACAAACCGTTTCTTCGGTTTGCTTTTGAGGGGCAGGCATATCAGTACAAAGTTCTCCCATTTGGGTTGGCCCTGGATGGTGGGCAAGGATGCTCCTATCATGCACACGGAGGTCGCGACTCTGCTGGCAAAGTGCGAGATAGAACTGGTCCCTCCAGCCAACATGAAGTCTGGCTTCTACAGCCCCTACTTCATAGTACCCAAGAAAACAGGTGGGTTACGGCCAATCCTAGACTTTCATGCCTTGAATCGAGCTCTTCACAGACTTCCGTTCAAGATGTGAACGCCCAAACGCATTTTCGAATGCATTCGTCCGATGGATTGGTTTGCAGCGATCGACCTGAAGGATGCATACTTTCATGTCTCCATTCTTCCTTGACACAGACCGTTTCTTCGGTTTGCTTTCGAGGGGCAGGCATATCAGTACAAAGTTCTCCCATTTGGGTTGGCCCTGTCTCCCCACGTCTTTACGAAGGTCGCGGAGGGAGCTCTGGTTCCTCTCCGGGAGCAAGGTGTCCAATGTTCGCGCAGCTTACGAGCGAGCGCACACAGTCACTGCTGAATTGCCTGAGTCAATTCAAAGGCAAGAGAGCGGTTCCACTGAAACTATTTCAGAGGCTCCTGGGGCATATGGCATCCGCAGCAGCGGTCATACCGCTCGGGTTGCTTCATATTAGACCGCTTCAGCACTGGCTTCATGGCCAAGTCCCGAGATGGGCATGGCAACAGGGCACGCTCCGCGTGACCATCACTCCGGCCTGCCGCCGAACCTTCACCCCGTGGTTGGACCTCACGTTGGACCTACGGGCTGGTGTTCCCCTAGAACCAGTGTCCAGGCATGTTGGGGTGCCATGTGCAACAGACATGCTGCGTCAGGCTCCTGGACGAGACCCGACTTCTGTGGCATGTCAATTGCCTCGAGTTGCTAGCAGTATGGCTTGCTCTGCACCGCTTCAAGGCCCTGCAGAAGGACAAGCACGTTCTGGTCCGTACGGACAACACTGCAACAGTAGCATACATCAACCGTCAGGGCGGTGTACGCTTCTGTCGCATGTCGCAACTCGCTCGCCATCTCCTCTTGTGGAGTCAGAAGCATCTGAGGTCGCTTCGTGCCATTCACATCCCGGGCAGGCTCAATCATGCAGCCGACGAGCTCTCAGGACAGCAGTCTCGCCCCAGGGAATAGAGACTCCATCCCCAGTCGGTTCAGCTGATTTGGGAACGCTTTGGAGACGCTCAGGTAGACCTGTTTGCCTTTCCAGACAATTCCCACTGCCAGTTGTTTTACTCCCTGACCGAGGGTACCCTTGGCACGGACGCTCTGGCACACAGCTGGCCGCAGGGCTTTCGCAAGTGTGCGTTTCCCCCAGTGAGCCTTCTTGCACAGACGTTGTGCAAAATCAGGGAAGACGAGGAGCAGGTCCTCATGGTTGCACCTTATTGGCCAACCCGGACCTGGTTCTCCGAACTTGTACTCCTCATGACAGTCCCTACCTGGCCAATCCCTCTGAGGAAGGACCTTCTTTCTCAGAGGTGGGACACCCTCTGGCACCTACGTCCCGATCTTTGGAACCTACATATGTGGGTTCTGGACGGGTCATGGAAGGTTTAGGTACCTTGCCACCTCAGGTGGTAGCTACCATCACTTCGGCTAGGGCCTCGTCTACCAGACACGCCTATGTTCTGAAGTGGAACCTCTTCGTCACTTGGGTCTTCACGTCGAGAAGACCCCTGGAAATGCCCGATCGGGTCAGTGCTTTCCTTTCTTCTGGAAGGTTTGGAACGAAGGCTGTCTCCTTCCACCCTGAAGGTCTATGAGGCTGCCATTGCGGCTCACCACAATCCTGTTGATTCTGTTACGGAGGCCAGCAGAAGGGAAAGGCTGTCTCCAAGCAGAGGTTATCCCACTGGATAGTGGATGCTATTGTCTTGGCTTATCAGGTTCAAGACCTGCCATGCCCCCTAGGGGTGAGAGCTCACTCAACTAGGAGTGTGGCTTCCTCCTGGGCGCATGGTGCCTCGCTAACAGACATCTGTAGAGCTGCGGGCTGGGCAACACCTTTTGCGAGATTCTATAATCTCCGTGTAGAGCCCGTGTCCTCCCATATACTTGCCCCTTCGGGCCAGTAAACAGGACCTGCTCGGTGTCACAGCCCCTCTCTGGCCAGTCCATGGAAGGTTTAGGTACCTTGCCACCTCAGGTGGTAGCTACCATCATTTCGGCTAGGGCGAAGGTGCCTCCATGTGTTGTGGTTCCCCTCTTGGGCAATCCCACGTGTGTATTTCCACAGTAAGTCTCTCTCGGCAGCATGTGTCTCTCCCTTGGCAAGCCACCCTTGCCATCTCTGAAATTGAAACATATCCACCCTGCGGGCTGGGTACCTCAGAGATTCATATGTATCACTGCTACGCTGGTTAATATGTGCTTTGTTAGACCTCCTACGAGCAGGCAGCCTGTTAGCATACTTCCAGCTGGAATATGCTACCCAGTGTGTTCGGTGTTAGGTATAGCCCTTCACTCGTACTGGCTTCACGACAGGGTGCTATCACTTACGCAGGTCACTGGAAGACAGCCATTGTGGCGTTTTGGAAAGGACCCCATTCATCAGTCTGTTCTGACGTAACGTCGAACGTGACCGACTAAAAGGGAACGTCTAGGTTACGTATGTAACCCTCGTTCCCTGAAGGAGGGAACGGAGACGTTACGTCACTTTGCCACAATTGCTGTTCTGCTGAACGGCTGGGTCACATGACTCGGCTCCTCAGCGAAGACTTGAATGTGAATTCCTCGTGCTGCTCCTTATATACCCACACAGCGGGGCGGAGCTTGCAATGCAAATTCCGCAGACCAAGGTACTCAGCGTACCATTGGCTCGTTCTGTTACCACTCGAAGGTGATTGGGCTCTCGGGCGAGACCCCATTCGTCAGTCTGTTCTGACGTAACATCTCCATATATATATATATATATATTTATTTATTTATTTATGTAGATTGACATGAGATTTTTCATTCATTTTGAGTGATTCAATAATAAGTTACAAGCACTACATGTTAATCATTTAACTTGACAGGAGATCACTCGTGCTAACAAGGGGTGGGCGTTGGACCGTATGGTTCTGTGTAATGAAGTTACAAAATGGATGAAGGATGACATCACACAACCTCCTGCAGAGGGGGTGTATGTTTATGGTCTCTACCTGGAAGGGGCCGGCTGGGACCGCAGGAACTGCAGGCTCATTGATTCCAAACCCAAAGTACTGTTTGAGATGATGCCTGTGGTCAGGATGTACGCAGAGAATAATGGTATTTTTTTTTCTATTTTCATTTTTTGCTGATTTTATGCACCTGATAGTAATCATTGTAGCTGATACAGCCAAGACACATGAATTAAAAGGAGGATTTCCATATGCCATACAGAGTATATTTTATTTCTTTTTAGGTAATGTAACGTTCTCTACTAATATTGGCACCCTTGGTAAATATGAAGAGAAGTAAAGGTGAATATTTGTAAATGCTGTTTATCTAAGTTTCATTACAAAAACCTAACTATTAATTAAAGTAAATTATTGAAAATAAATAAATAAATAAATCCAAAACATAGAACACTGTACTTAACCCTGGGCTATCATCATTCTAAACCCGCTTTTGACCCCGGGTAAAGGTACATTTCACACATGGAAACTTTGGAAGTGGGGTTAGCACTGCTTTTTATCCAGGGTTATGAAACCCTGCTTTTGCTTTTGCAGTGTTAACCCTGCATTGTGGTGCCAAATTTACACTTTGCGAAATGATGTAGCATCTATACAGCTAGATGCTTAGCAAGAGACAACTAATTATATGCCTTATGCTTTTGACAGTCCCAGAAACACTGTGCATTGAATAAACGCTTTAGCATTTGAGGGGAAATGGTGTCAAATGGTGACGGAAAATGTTTTATTACCTTTACAGTCCACCAAAAAGTTCATTCAGGAAAATCTTACAGTCTGCAATAGATAATATGAGGATGTGCGATGCTAGCGCCGTTATGTAAACCGCTTGCGTTCTGTGTTCATCAAATCAATGACACAAGCACTGCAAATATGCAAATAAGCTTAAACCAGGGTTTAGGAATGTACAGTGTGAAACCCTGAATGTACAGTGTGAAACTGTACCCAGAATTGTTTCTTAACTCCAGGTAAATTATGCGAGACATGAATAAAGATTTTCTGTTATGTACTAAAATAATTAACACTTATAAACATAATAAACACTAGCCAGTATGTGTTCTGCACATCAATGCTCTGGTGTCAACCTAAATGACTATTTAAACAATATATTTATATATATATATATATATATATATATACAGTGGTGTGATTTCTGATTTCTTATTTTTTTGCATGTTTGTCACACTTTAATGTTTCAGATCATCAAACAAATTTAAACTTTTTCACACCACTGTATATATATATAATTATTTAAAAAAAAAATTTTTTTGTTGTTTTTTTTTTTAAGGCAAGTGTCATTTGCTTTTAGACAAGCAAACAAAACAGGTTTAAACCAAAAACCATAATTTTTGATTAGACAAATAGACCATTAGACCATATACATTTATTCATGGCTTTGATCATATTTACTAAGTGTGCCAATATTTGGGCACTGTGTGTTAATTTCCAGTGAGTGAATTGTTATTTTAGCCTAAATTAATGTGATTGGGACAAATGTAATCTATGCAGTGGATTAACATTTGCAAGTAAGAGTTTTACCTTATACACAAATATATATATATATATATTTTTTACTTTTTAACGTTCCAGATAAAAAAGTATATATATTTTAGTAAAGCATGCAAAACCTAATTGCTAACTTACTGTATCTTTCCTAAGGTGTCAAAGATCCTCGCTTGTACTCATGTCCAATATATAAAAAGCCTGTTCGAACAGACCTGAACTACATCGCAGCTGTTGACCTGAGAACCAGTCACCCCCCAGAATACTGGATCCTGAGAGGAGTGGCCCTCCTGTGTGACGTCAAATAATAGTCTTTTAAAATAATTGTATACAAATGTAGATGTCTGTCTGGTCTCTTTCTGTATTTTAACTGATGATTACCCTGAACACCTGAATAAATAAACATGCACAGCTGTCTGTAGCACCATACATAAGACCCTTAGAACCACAGCAAGTGCCTTGACATCTAAACCTGTAAATCCATCATAAATATTGTCGTCGTACACCGTCATATGGTTTTCTGAGTGCCTCTCAAGACAATCTGCTGGGTCTTGTCTTTAATCCAAAGGTTCATGCATTTAAAGGCCAAATGTAAGCCTGCTGATTAACAGCCCAGTTGAAGCGTACTCATGCTTGTCCTACAGTAAACACTCTCAGGTGTACAAGTCAAAGTTTATCCATCTGAACTATGGAAGAGTTTCATTTTTAGCAGCTTCTGTGAGGGACTATCCAGGGTGTTTTCCTGCTTATGGTCTGAGAGACAATTTATTCTGCAGATGCAGTCTAATGTGTAAAATTAATGTCAGAATATGATTTTCAGATTCAAGTTATTTTCCTTCTGAACCAAACAGACGTGTCACCCAAAATTATTTTTGACAAATATCATCATAGCACTGAAAAGAAAACCACGCAAGTTTGAGAACATGGGTCTGTACCACAAAGAGAAACAAATTCAGGTTATTGGATTGATTGCAAGTTGCCAAAATTGATTTTGTAATTGTACCTTAGGAAGTGAGGCATTTTGACAAGATACAATTACAAGGCGATTCCCCAAAGTCAGCGTACAGAGCTTCTTAGATGATCATCTGACAAAAAAAAATCTAAATCTCTTGAATGCTCAATTGTAAAGAATTAAATTCTGTCCATCTAGCAAACTATTTATTTGTGAAGTATGCTTTAATTCGAAGCGTCAGAGACAGGGAATGACTGCTTCAGAGATTCAAATTGGTGATACAGGCCCCAGGAAATTAGAATACAGAAATGTACGATTTTTTTTTTTTTTTTGTATGCTGGTTTTAATGTTTGTAAAGACAGTTTACAATTTGATTTCTTGAAATAAATGATAAAATGATATACAAGACAATTTAAATTTTGTCATTTCTCATTGAAATTTGATTTCATTAAATTATCTTGTCAGCATCTTGTGACTCGGGCCAGCACTGAGTCCCGACTGAGCCAGTGAGACCTTTCTGTGTTGAGTTTGCATGTTCTTTGTTGTCATGGGTTTCCATGGGTGCTCCAGTTTCCCCCACAATGTCTGTGAGGGACTATCCAGGGTGTTTTCCTGCTTATGGTCTGAGATCCCTGTGACCCTACTTACAATGGAAAATAGATACATCTAGTGACTAACTTCTAACTTAAATTGTGCACAGTTTAGAACCAGAGACACACAGCCACCCTAACTCTATTAAAGCCTACTGTTATCATATTTGATACACACATTTCTAAGGTCTCTAAATTTTCTACATGATCAAACCTTGGCTGACAAACCTGTAGTACACAATCTACATGCCCTCTAATAGGGTTTACATTTTTAAAGTAAAAGGCCTTTTAGTATAATTCTAAAAACTTCCTTCAGGCTTTTGAGGATCATTTATTTGGCTTGTTCGACTCTCAATCATCATTGTATTGCATTGTGTTTTATGTTTTGCCCCCACAATAAAAAACTACCGAGATTTGATCATATAACTAAGATTTTGTCTAAAGATTTAATAAACTCTTCCTACTATTATTTCATATGCCAGGCTTTACAGAGTTAAGACCCCTTTCATTTGGCCAACTACAACTGAACAATAAATACATTAAGGGATAAATATAAAGTTCAGAAAAAAATACTTTTTTACAGCTGTTTTAGCTGATTTTTTGTCCACTTGTGACAATAATAAAACAGAGAAAATATACAAACACCACTCAGGACTTGATGGCAGTGGTCCACTGATCAAAGAAGTTGCACAGAGGTTGCAAAGAACAACTTTGTACACCTTATGTTAATTAAATGTGTGAAGGGGGAATAAAAGTATTTTCTTTATGAATGAAAACATGAAACAGACACTGATATAGAATACTATATTGCATTCACAACTCACATAGGGATATGTCCCTACTTTCCAAAGCTACATCTATATGCCCTTGGTGTAAATATGTGACACATCATGCACAGCATGTTAGTGACACAACACAGAAACGTCTAAGTGCTAGCTTATTCCTGTAATATGTAACTACAGTATATCAAAAACTCAATGTCTTAAAAATAAAGATGCCCTCAGAAAGACAATTACATATAAAATTTAATGAAGATTTAAAAAAAGAAAAAGTAAGTAAAGCAATGGCATTAAAACATCAAAACACTTTTTGTTGTATTTGATTTTCATACAAAATAATTGCTACCATAATTACAGTAGTACCCTGTGCACAAACCCTGCCTATGAGATACAGTAGAAATGGTATCACTTTCAATACATTCAATACTCCGTGCATCTAAACTAGGCACAGTTATTTACAAATGTCTCTTTTATTCCCGTTTGTGGATGTTTTCAGTTCATTGCACATTTGTTGCTATGATTCATGGCATTACATTCCCCTGGGATAAAGACCGGCTCATCTCAGTATGGACGAAGTATGTTTTGAGCTCTCCTTTCCCTTTTACATTTATAATTCCTCTGCATGTGCACATGTAGCCTAATGTCTGCAAGATACGACTCGTCTCTTCTGTAACCTGCAGACACACACACACAAAGGAATTAAATGGATTAATGAGTCACTGTACTGCACGTTGTTCAAAGCATGAGCATTCTCCTAACTAGAATGCCACTGGTTTTACACAGAATTAATTTTATTGTAATCAAACATCTCGTAAAAGGAGTTGAGGCAATTTAAAAATTAAAAACCAATAAAGCAAACAATGGTTCTTTACAGTTAATAATAATAACAATAATAAATATAGCTGCAAGCAGCAATTAAGGGGCCAAGCACAACCAAGGCAAAATGAGGAGCTAAGCATGGCATGGAGCATCAGACCAACTGCAACAATGAGTACTTAAAGCCAATTTAGGATGATTTTAGTGAAAATGGCTGAAAAATTATAAATATAAATCACTAGTAATATGATTTACTGGTTTATGACAGGAAGTTCGGCCGATTATGGCATAATTGGTATAAATGAAAACCAATATAGCAAACAATGGTTCTTTACAGTTAATAATAATAACAATAATAAATATAGCTGCAAGCAGCAATTAAGGGGCCAAGCACAACCGAGGCAAAATGAGGAGCTAAGCATGGCATGGAGCATCAGACTAACTGCAACAATGAGTACTTAAAGCCAATTTAGGATGATTTTAGTGAAAATGGCTGAAAAATTATAAATATAATCACTAGTAATATGATTTACTGGTTTATGACAGGAAGTTCGGCCGATTATGGCATAATTGGTATAAATGTTCTCGGTATGATCCAAGGAATCTATCAAGACCAGTCACATGACAATAGATAAAAATCTTAGAAAGCTATTAGCGTTTTTTGAAATTTCATTATAATTTTTGACCACAAGCTGACATCACACTTTTTGAGTACCTTCAGGGCATGGTGCTGAAGACACATATTGAGTTTTGCAGCAATACGTCAATACGTTCATAAAATATTAAATTTTTTAACTAAATTCAAAATGTCCGACACCCAAAATAGCCAACATAGGAAAATTGGGTATCTTTCGACTCGGCATGCTGTTCTGAATCTAAATAGACAAGTCTTGTGATTTTTGGCAAAAGCATTCATTTGGCAAAAGCGGTCATTACCATTTTTCATACCTCCAGACCACTAGGTGGCGCTGCGGCGAAACTGTGCAAGTAACCTCAGGTCATGATTATCATAAGACACACCAGGATTGGTCTTGATATGACAAAGCGTTGGAGAGAAATAGCCCCATTTCCGATTTGCTGAGCTTTTCATCAAATTCGTTTACACGGTTTTTGAGAACGGATGGGGGTATCAAACAGCTTTTGATAACTTTTTGCCAGCATGGTCTGAAGATGATCTGAGACAATTTTAGTGAAAATCAGACAAACAAACCGTCTAGGACAAGTTCGAAAATGTAGGTTTTTCGATCTATTCAAAATTGTGAAAAATCTTGACCAGTAGAATTTTTAATTTTGGTGTCCATTCAACTCTGCATGAGCCAAGGAATCGGAGGAAAAATTCTTATTTTTTTTTTCTAGACCTTACGGTTGAAAAGTTATTAGCATAAACATGAGTGCAAATTTGGACAAGTGGTGGCACTAGAGAGTTTGAATAAGAGACACCAAATTTGCTGTGGTTAATGTTGAGATTGTCCTCTATCAGTGTGACAAACTTCAAAACTTTCCTGCAAGTGGTTCTATGGGCTGCATGGGCTGGCATAGACTTCCAGAGCGGAAGAAGAAGAAGAAGAAGAAGAAGAAGCACTTTAAGGCATTTAAGCACATATGAAAAGATATACATATTATTTAGCAAGCCTGTAACCACCTAAATCAATGATTTTGGCAAATCCAGGTAATTTGCCATAGGAAAAAAATATGATTTCTAACGTTTATGCTGTTATAGCGCCACCTATGGTCGAATTTCCATAAAACTTTGCATGCTTGTTTAGAACCATCTGTCACATGTGCTCACCTAGTTTCATGAAGTTTTGAATTTTAATTTAGGATATATAGGCTTGGGTATATTTGGCCACACTCCTTTTAAAAATGACCCTCTTATAGCTAAACAAAGTGTAAAGTTGAACCTTTAAATATATATATATATATATATATATATATAAAATCATTGACCTACAGAATCCAGAGAATTGTACTGCCGCATGTACTCACCCAGTTTTGTGAAGTTTTGAGTTTTTACTTTATAGGCTTTGGGGGTATATTTGGCCACACCCATTTTCTAAATGACCCTGTTATAGCTATCCAAAGGGGAAAGTTCAACATTTTTTGATTATTATTGACTTAGAGAGTCCAGAGAACTGTACTGCAGATTTTTTTATTTTTAGGTTAAGTGTAATACCTAGGAGTACAGTAGTTCGCAAAAGTATTTTTTTTTAATAATGTCAAATATTTAAAGAAGAATTTGATTGACAGCAGTGGTCCTAGAGTCAAAGTTGTTCAGAATGAGGAGATCGATCGTACGATGTGAAGATCTAGTGTATGTGTAAATGTATGAACATTTTCTGCAATTTGAGGTAATTTACCATAGAAATACAGTGTTTTTAAAGTATTTTTAACTGTTATAGCGCCACCTGTGGTCCGATCTCCATAAAACTTAGCATGCTTGTTTAAAATCAGATTGGGTTCACCTAGTTTTGTGAAGTTTTGAGTTTTCATTTAGGCTTTATCCACCTTTTTCTTCAACGCAGAAGTAAGTCTATAGGTTCATTAGCCGCTATAGGTAAATAACGAGGAGAATAACAACGTGCAGTAAACGGTAAAACTGTTTGCACTACAAACCAGTGTGTTCATAATTAAGATAATACATTAAAATAATACGATAAGACACACCAACTTTCAATATCAAGCAGCAAAACGAACTGTTTTGTTCAGCTAAAAATAGCTGGACAGAGTGGACGCAGATGAGACCGGAAGCCAGACCTATAGAATTTACAAATGGCCGCGCCCATTTTTACGACAAGAAAAAGGTGGATAGGCTTTCGTGTATATTTGGACACACCCCTTTTCTAAACAACCCCGTTATAGCTAACCAAAGGATAAAGTTCAACTTTTTTTTTTTGATAATTATTGACGTAGAGAGTCCAGAGAATTGTACTGTAGTAGTTTTTTCGAGATCGAGAAAAAAACCTAGGACTAGTTCGCAAAAGTAGGTTTTTTACATAGCAATTATTTAACAAACGATTTGATTGACAGCAGTGGTTCTAGAGGCAAAGTTGTTTGGAATGAGTAGGTCTATCATATGATATGAATATCGTGTGTATGTGTGAAAAACCGTGCAATATCCAATTGTTTATGCCCTTGAAAAAATGTGATATCGCCCCCCAGTGGTCGATTCCTTCGTTTTTTTTTTTTGATAGTCATTGATATTCACTCTCCAGAGAATCTTTCTACACTGGTTTGGTTCCAAACAGGCGAAAAACTTAGGACTAGTTTGCAAAAGTAGGCAGTGTGAGTACTACCATCCCTCCAAGTTTCAAGTCTCTACGACTTACGGTTTGGTCTGCCCGATCAGTTTTATGTGGAGATTGATGATCCTAGGCCATTGTAACAATTACAATGGCCTTCGGTGCTTGGCCCCTAATACCGTATTGTCCCGAATAGAAGACGATATTTTTTTCTTGGAAATACATCTGAAAAAACGCGGTCGTCTTATATTTAGGGTCTAGACGAAAGCCTTTTTTCAAAAGGTACATCTGGAAAAAGGGGGGTCGTCTTATAATCAGGGTCGTCTTATATTCGGGCCAATACGGTAATAATAATAATAATAAATCTTACCTGTATTTTGCCCAGCACTCCTGTGCTGTCCATTCTGCTTGCTACATTCACTGTGTTGCCCCAGATGTCATACTGGGGCTTCTGAGCTCCAATCACCCCAGCTATCACAGGTCCATGATTAATACCTGCAGATGGGGATATACAGGTTATTGTAGTATGCCAAATTTCATGTATTGCTGTCCAATTGAAATGAAGATACAGTATTATTTGACTCTTTTACTATAATGCATAGTATATTACTTCCATCAAGAGCCACTTAAAGACACTTAGGATTATTAAAAAGATGCTTAATTATTTTTGAATATTAAGATTTAAAATTATTTTTGAAAAGAGACAGCCACCGCATTACCATATCATCTACATGAGCTGTTTTTGCTTGGACCATGATAATCATCACTTGTAGCTATATATACTGTAATCTTTTGAATTTTCACTCACCCACTCTGAATTTGAAGTCATTGAAGGAATGTTTATTGATGACATCCAGCTTCCCCACCAGTGCAAAGGCAAACTCCACCATAGTACCAATGTGCATGTACTGCCTGTCATGCTCCTATATATATATATATATATATATATTTAAAAAAATCTTTATTCGAAGGGTAGAGTTGGACCACCAAAATTTTACAAGAATTAAAAGAAAATTATTTTAGATTAATAAAAGTACACAGAGTCAAATAAATAAATAATCAGGATGCAAACTGCAGCTGATTCACATGAAAGATTTGTAAAATTTCACAGATGACTGATTGCACACATTTCTGATACCTGTATATATTCTGGTCCTGGTGTGGCATTAAGCCCAGTGGCTGCCATATATGTGCTTCCAATGGTCTTTATCTTCTCCACTCCACTAAACTTTGGCTTAGAGAGCAACTACACAGGAAAGACAACATAACCATAGCAAAGTTAACATCAAACAACCATCAAAACTGCTTTGTGAAAAAGGATTGCATCATGGTAATAACATTTATTTTTGACATACTAAGATGAATTTCATGGGCTAATGCAATTCCATAGCAAGCAAGCAGAATTTGCACACTACGGTAAGTTCAAAGTACACTTCAATATGAAAAAAGTTAAAGAGTAAAAAAGGAAACAACTTTTTTTTTTCTACAAAGTACCCAAAGAAGCAATACGTTACCTCATCAAAGTCTGCAATGATTTCGTTGAGTAGTCTGAGGCACTCAAGTCCCTCCTTGTTTACATCTGATTCTGTGTAGAACTCTTTGAAGTCCGGGATAGAAGCAAACATCACACACACCAGGTCATATGATTGGTGATACAGATCCTGTCATTCACAGAGAAAAGGAAACTCAGCCACGCATATCCAAGGACTGACTTTCGAACAGACAGCATTATTTAAAAGTTATAATCTCAAAATATTTTTTTTTTCAAAGCTATAATTTAAACAGAAGAAAACAACAACTGTCAGTTGTCAAGCACTTCCAAGCATCTCAATTCAAGTTATTGCTAGATGTGCTTTTAATCTCATTACCTATAGTCCTTCAAGTACAAAAAGTGTGTCTGTGCTGGTTAAGTATATACTTTTAAGTATGATGTAAGCCAGTATGAAGGTATGAAGACAACATTTGTAGTGCAAGAGTCTCTTTTCTGAATATATACCACAGTATTGTGGTTACTTTGAAGTATGGAAGCTCATACTATTTTAACCATGTGAATTTGGGGTGCATACAAATTGTAGTATAGGCTAGATCTTTAGTTGTTCTTTCTATCTACATTCTTACCTCGTTCTTCCAGTTCCTGGCCAGAAAGTGCTCTGCTACATGGGCTGGCAGAACGTTTTCCAGCAGAACACGATTAAGATAGAGAGAGAGAGAGAGAGAGAGAGTGTTATCGATAGTTATCGCAATTAAGTTACATCACAGTGACATATTCTGTTCTTTAAATTATATGTACACTGTATGTACAATTCTCACACGGTTGGTGAGAATCCTAATTAGATTTTTTTTTTTTTATGACAGAAAAATATAAGATTGAAATCGACAAATTTGTTTCATGTTTGTTTACAAACAGTGACATATGCCACAAATGGAATGGCCAAATCTGGAGGCCAAACAGCCCTCTGCAGCCAGGGCACAGATGGACACAAATCTCTGCCAAGAAACTCTGCAATAACGCATGTCAGACTACTGTGGTCAAGGCCCGTAATGTAATGTGTGTGTGATCCAATTAGGGAGCATCTCAGTGTCTTATTTGTATGACCATAAGCACAAAGGTATTCATTTGAAATTTCCTGGATCATTGTGGTTGACATACCATATTGAAGATGGCCATGATCAGAATGAGGGCTGTGGTTGCCATGGTGAGGGTGATGCGTGGCCAGGGCTTGTTGGCTATGATTCCTGAGGATCTAAGGATCCAGAACCAAGATGTGGAGGCCGTCTTATCGCAATGCTATTGTTGGTCAACATGAATAAAAATTAAATAAATAAATAAATAAAAATGCAGATAAAATCAGTAAAATCTTTTATTAATAGAATTAAAAATATGAACAGAAATTATGTCTCGTAACTAATTTGTCTTCAGTATAATTTATTATAATAAAATCATATATTAAATACGCAATAGACAGGGGTGCACATAAGTGGTATGCAGGTGCGCATGCGCGACCAAAATAAAAAATGCCCTGTGTAAATAAGTTCTGACCGCGCATTTGCTTACAGACATGGTTGACAGCTGTTAATGCACAATTACCATTTTAGATCGACAAACTGTAATACTGTACAAGATTTCTATTCAAACTGAATAGATAAATAAATCTAGGCTACCCGCTGCCGTTTTCAAAGCACAATGCAAAACTGTGACATTGCATTCACTGATGCTCTTCAGTCGTCTAAACGCGGAAGCGCATAAACTTACTTGCCGGCAACCCGCCAAAATAAAAGCCTGCTGATTTTAAGTTTGAAAATGATGAAAATTCATCTTTAAAAAATAAGTAAATATTAGCATTTTATTTTTAAGTTTACTATAAAATAGTTGTATTTGTATTTAATACTCCCATTTTATTTTAAAATATAATAGTATTATGACACTTTATTATTTAATTATTTTTGAAAAAACTAAATAAATAAAGTGCAACAATATTATCACTACGATTAATAATTTTTTTTATATAGTTGTATTTAATGTGTTACACTATGTGCAGTGTGAGGACCAAACCAAATATCCAGGTTCTCTTATGAGAACCAGGCTGAAAAACGTATGTGCACCCCTGGCAATAGAACATATATTGCATTAGTGCAATACTGAAAGATGTGGTTGGTTGGATGAATTGTATTGTGATATGCCTTGGGAAATCTGCATAACACATTCTCATCAGACTGTCATCACAAGGTCATGGTGGAGAACAAACACATGATTCACTTCATTTCACGCACCAGTTTTCTTTTCTTGTACATTTGGGAAATCTTACTGTGGTCGATGCTTTCGAAAATAATAAATAAAGCTACCTAAGAGCTGAGTCAAAATAACTATCACAGTATTAAACAAGCATAAGACCTTCCAAAATGTACACAATGAACATGACCTTAGCACCAACCTGAAAACATCAATTCTAAACTCTGTTATAATTTGTTACTTCTTTATACTGTAAGAACAAAGATCAATTAGATTTTAATGGAAGATTGTCAGTGATTATGTATAATATATAAATCATGATATATTGTCAGTGATTATGTATAATATATAATCATGATATATATCTAGATTCTTTCATCTAGTCCTTGCACTCTCAACAGATGAGGAATTTAGCAGTGACATATATTTGCGTTCTACACCACTTATTCTCAACTGGTGGGTTGGGACTGAAAAATGGGTGGGTGATTTGTTTTATTGGATACTGTGTGATAAATCAATTAACCATTAAGCGTGAGAAGTTAGAATCATAAAATAAATACAGAGTTCTGGCATTAAAACTCTAGATGGCGCAGTGCGATAGGTCTAACTCAATCTGACCTAATGACATCATTATCACATGGCACAGCTGATTGGTTCTCTCCTGTATCGGGTAGCCAATGAGCTCGCTGCTCAACATTCAAATATATGACTAGTGTTTGCTGTAGCAGTTGCAGCTTGCTTCAGAAACCATCCACCTTCCCCAGCTCCACCTGTATAGATCTGCTACGAGGTGATTCATGTACGCTATAAGGGGGTTATTTCATGTATGTTATATTTGCAGCAGCAATATTTCTTACATGCTCACAGCAGCATATTGTGGATATATTGGAAGTAGCAAATCTCGGTACTTGCTCTGTAGCAGCGTAGCAAATCTATTCCGCCAAGACCAAATGCATTAACATTGTCATGTATATTACCATGCCAATCCCTCCAAGGGTTGTCATGACAGAAATGTATTTATCAAGTTTTAAAAGGGAGAAAATGCTTCCCATATTTTTTCTTCTTCACTAAAGGCAGTAAGTCCAAAAAAAAATAATAATAATAAAAATTAAGGCAAAAGAAAATACAATCCATTAAACTACATTAATCACCGTTTACATTTTTGTCCAAAGTAAAATAGGGTCAAAACCACTGCTCTACCCTTGTTGTGAAAAATAAGTGTTTAATTGTGCTGAATCTACATGCACTTGGTTTTGTCATGGCCATGACATATAAACCTGTGGGTTAATATGTCATGAAAATATGTTGTGGCCACAAGATATTAAATTGCGGAAATGTCATAATATGTTGAGGCCATGACATTGTATTAACACACAGTATTAACTAGTGGCGGCCATGAAATCATTTTGTCGAGGTAAAGGAATCCTTATGTCATGGCCACACAATGTACAGTATAGACAGAATTAAAATGAAGTTTATTGCCAATAAATGTCGAAAGAATACATACATAAAATAATATAGGCCTACAAGAAAACATTTTCATCCATCCCATCCCACTTTTTAAATCCATTCACTGATTGTTTCTTTTTTATTTAATTTGTGTATATTATTATACTATTATTATTAAGTTCATTGTTATGTCCCCTTCATGTTATATATCTCTTTATTTAATTAATGTTCGGTATTATTATATTACTTAAAGTAGCTACCATATGTTTTGTAAATACTGTAAATGCCCAACAATGATGCTTATAAAGTAAAGACTGTATTTCTATAGGCGTATAGTCTGTGCCAGTATGTGACGATAAATAAGTGTCTATTTTCTTTCAAATCTCATCCCAAAGTCTTTTAAATTCATTCACTGGTATTTACGTTTTTTTTATT